AAAGTGTATCATAAATGCGGCAGTCGAATTGGTGATTGTACTCTCATCGGCCTAACAATATCTGTGACAAAACATTCACGCGTTCCGTTTGATAGAATAGCCAGTCCTGTGAATACAGCGTACACTGTATCTCTCAAAATTCAAGAGGCCTTCGTATTGTATTCGTATCAAATGACGAAGCAAATTAATATTTAATTGTACTAAAAAAACTTGTAGGTATCTAACGATTTTTTTTTTATTGCTTTGATGGGTGGACGAGCTCACAGCCCCCCTGGTGTTAAGTGGTTACTGGAGCCCATAGACATCTACGACGTAAATGCGCCACCCACCTTGAGATATAAGTTCTAAGGTCTCAGTAGAGTTACGACGTAACCAAGTTAAAAAAAAGGTACGCGTGCAGCTTGAAACATGTAAAAGAAGTGAAACTTCTTTTGCGGTGTGCAGTATCGTGGTTTTTTACTTTTTCATCCTTAAATCAAATTTCTATTGTAATAGGGAATGCTGCGTATAAGAGAAACGACCTGGCTCGCTCTGTCCTATCTCTCTCTCACGGTCGAGTGGTTCGCGAGACGCTCTGTCTCTTTTCTCACTCTCGCTCTTCCTAAATTGTATTTTGTCTCTCTAGCCGTAACGAATCTGTCGCGAGTTAAATTTTCTCCCAACACGCCTAAAGAATTTTCATTTTAAAAACTAACAAGCGGTCAATTTTAAAACTAAACTAGATCCTGCTCTTTTCATAAACACGTAACAAGGTAGTGATTGCAAAAAAAAAAAAATAATAAACACGCAGAAACCATTAACGGATTCGCATGTTAACATGTATTCGCACGACAATGAGCGCGTTCGTAATATCCATTAAGCGAATATTTGTATTCTATTCCTATTTCGCAGATATTTTTTTTGAGTAACAGAAATATCGTGAGCACGCTAAGTTTTAATTAATGATGTCCCACATACAATGTAGGTTTATTATATTACGCAATATCTGGATTTATTATAAGCTGTACTAGTTTTTTGTTTGTTTTTTTGTTGCTGTAAAGTAAGCTAATTCGTTCTTTAAATGGTCAATAAAAAAGATAAAAGAAAACTACAAACATCCGTATCGAATTAATTCGTAAATACGTTCAATTTCTTTTAATTAAACATCGCATTAAACATTTCAAATAGACGCGTTAAATGATTACCGATAACCGCACTTAGAGCGGTCAAATTGATTGATGACCGTCATTTATTTTGTAACCATCAATTATTAAACCCACACGTGGATGAGTCCGGCCTTGTTCGTGAAAACCTGCCGCTGTGTTATCGCACATCGAACTTCAACTAATAATTGAAGACCATTGCTGTAGGCGACTTAAATATTAGCCAACATGGCGGTTGGTAGCGGACGAAAACCACAGCATATCTCTCACGGCTCAAAACGTTATCGTTTTCGCCGGAATCACTTTCTCTACATACCAAAACTCTTGAGATTTGTACCCGGATGACTTTTGAACGTACCTGTAAAAGAATAAAAATTATACGAATTAGAAGGCAATCTAGAACGCACAAAGCGTTGAAACAAAGAAAAAAAATCTGATTCATACATTATACATAGGTGTGTGAAAGTGGCAAGTTCATTAAAATCTTCATTAATCAAGATGATCTGTCAGCTCACCTAGTAAGTTATCATAATTGCCATTTAAAACTTTAGGTAATCAATTAAACTATTTCTGTACGTCAAAATCTGTAAATGCTGTAACTTTACACCCGCAGAAAGCCAATTGATACTAAAGTGTTACGATAACCAAAGTTTTTACATTAATATTGAAAAGGAGTTCTACTATATGCCAATATTACTGGTGGTAGGACCTCTTGTGAGTCCGCGCGGGTAGGTACCACCACCCTGCCTATTTCTGCCGTGAAGCAGTAATGCGTTTCGGTTTGAAGGGTGGGGCAGCTGTTGTAACTATACTGAGACCTTAGAACTTATATCTCAAGATCGGTGGCGCATTTGCGTGATAGATGTCGATGGGCTCCACTTAACACCAGGTGGGCTGTGAGCTCGTCCATCCACTTAAGCAATAAAAAAAGCAATAATTTTTTTTTTTTTACAGTGAAGCGCGATTTACTGTTGTCGGTAACAAAGTCTTATTTTAATTCGCTAAAACATGTAGGTATCGCACAATGGAAGTGCATAATTACAATAACCTCATTATACAGTGTTCTGGTTGCTCGGATCCAGCTAATCATCAAGTAAGCAGCCACTGAGCACGACACGAGAAACGGTATCGTACACGTCGCGCTCTGAATCACATTCCAATGAAAAAAAAAAACAAGATAAAAAGCCGATGACCGGAATCGAAAATTTGCTTACCATTAAAAAAAAAACAACCTTCGACACCGTTCTCGATGGTGGTGTTGTCAGAAAATTAATTACGTCAAACATATTGACACAGGTTTATTGTTTTCGGCCAGGGTCAAAGTTATCGTCGAAAACAATTGCTTATACACGGATTCCAACAATGAGCCTGCAGAATTGCTTTCATTGTAGATTGTAGGTTGCAACGATTGCAGAACTCTTTTGATCTGACAATCAAAATACGAGATTTGTTCGCAATAAGCAAAAACGAAAAGAAGAGGGCTATTTAGCATTGTCTGAATGCAAACGAAATCGATAACTGTCCGATATAAAAAAAAAAAACAGATTATGCTTTAAATTTGAATTGAACTCGAAAAAGAGATTATGCTATGAATTCACATTTCCAACCACAGCAAAAAGCGTACAGACAGGTTAGCTAGTGTAACGAATATCGAATCTGCACGATTGTGAATTGCCGTCAGCTTAAGTTAAGGGAAGTCGAAACAATAATCGATTACGACGGTTTGATTTTTCTAATTGTGAAAGTGTGAAATAATTATTGGATCGTTCATAATTAGCTCAACCGAGTGTATTTAATGTAATTACACGGACATTTTAAATGCATTCACGACACTCGGTTCAATGCTAAGGCAGACAAACATACACAGCTATTAATGTCATGAAGCGAAACAGAATATAGCTACTGACAGCGTACTAAACTAAATACATGGAGTTATGAGAACGGAATAATTGTATTATTTTAGAAAACGAAATCAGACCTTAAACCAGCCTTTCCCAAAGTGGGCGATAGCGCCCTCTTGTTGGCGCATAAAAGGGGGGCGGTAAGAGACCCAAAAAAAAAATGGGTCTGTTGTGTAGGCTTGGGATTTGTAATTTCATCTAGGACTCTTAGACACTGACTGAGCTCTCAGTGTAGTAGTTTTTAGGTAGGTGAAAAAATGGGGGCGCTAAAAACTAATTTATTCTCAAAGTGGGCAGTAGGTAAAATAAGTTTGAGAACCACTACCTTAAACAAAAAAGTATGAGCAACGCGGTTTAAGTAGGTGCAGCACGTAACTAGGACCAGCTGTATAAATTTGTTCTGCTAGCTCAAATGCACTAGTACGACTTGAAATATTTAAACAGACATTATTCTACCACACAGCTGGTTAAAGCCTTTTGTATACTATAAAACTTTGAACTATAACTTGAAGAATATTGGAGATTTATCTCCATATTTACGTTTACATAAAGATTAAAAAGACAATACACGTTCTTTTATGTATGTATGTATGTATGTATATACACAGTCTGTTACAAAGAGACCATCATAATTTGGTCGACTTTATAAAACCGATGGAAAAAACACAAACGACATAATGTTTGATGCTTTACCTAATAAATCAGCCCAATTAAAAGAGCTCCCAAGTATAATAAGTATTATTTAGAGAACTGCATATTTTGCATTAATACAATCAAGAAACTTTCCACAAGTTTTATCTTCATTCAAAAGCAATAAAAATATAGTGCTTAAATGATATAAAAATGAACATTCTAGTCTGATCAAAATAGGCTACTAATGAAAGGTTTTGAACAAAGAATCCTCTTCATAGCACATGGCACTTTTTTTTATTGCTTAGATGGGTGGACGAGCTCACAAGCCCACCTGGTGTAAAGTGGTTACTGGAGCCCATAGACATCTATCACGCAAATGCGCCACCCATCTTGTGATATAAGTTCTAAAGTCTCAGTATAGTTACAACGGCTGCCCTACCCTTCAAACCGAAACGCATTACTGCTTCACGGCAGAAATAGGCAGGGTGGTGGCACCTACCCGTGCGGATTCACTAGAGTTCCTACCAGTGATTACGCAAATTATAATTTTGCGAGTTTGATTTTTATTACACGATGTTATTCCTTCACCGTGGAAGTCAATCGTGAACAATTGTTGAGTGCGTATTTCGATTTATATTCCATATCAGTGGGCGATCCTATACGAATTTGATTTTCACGGTGCCCTGACAGTACTGTTTACGATCTCCGTAACATTTCGACTGGATACAAGCATCAGAGAGACATCGACGCTTTGTGACTGATTTAAACTGCCGCCACAGTGTAGGGTTGCCCTAAACGGTAACTTTTATTAATAACTGAGTCGTTGTAATCAACCAGACCAGTCATTGTGGTCTGATTGATTGTGTAAATTGGCAATAGTGACCTTTTTTTTTCAAAATTAATCCGTATATGCTTGATATTAGTTCATAAACAACTTCCAAAATAAAGAAACCTAACCTAAAAAAATCTCCAAATTTTATATCCATCTATCCATCTTCTTTCCCTATTTCTCAGCATTGTGACATAGGCTACAGTAACCAATTAATACCGTGTGGGCTGTGAACTCATTTCAATGGTAAAATTCTATCTAGAAAAAAGAAGGAAAGTAAGCAATTAACTTTTACATTTAGACTTGAACATTTGAACTATCATTAGAAAAATTGGTTGCATCTCTAGATACGCATGCACCGAACGCATTATCCTTTAAGCCAGGACGGCGTATAGATTATTACGCATATTTAACCATACTACTAATTAATCCCTTGCAAATACTTTTCGGCATTTATCAAATAGAATCGTTAAACATGAACCAATTCAAACTTACCTGTATATTAGTGATAACCCCTCTTTCATAGCTTGACATCAATACACACTACTAAAAGGCAGCGCTGATGGATTACTTGGCACCAGTTCGTGTACTAACGGTCTAAACTACTTGGCTTATTCAAGGACGATCCATGGCGTTTTCAGCCTTCAAATTATTCAGTCTAGCGGGTTTTACCTGACTGACGTCATGGAAAGTTTAGCGAATCAAAAGAACATCTGATCGTGGTCTAGTTTCCCTGTTATAATAAAAAGAATGAAACTTAAAAAAACTCACTAGATAAAACAAGAAGGAATATTATCGCAATGAGGAATATTACGAAGGAGAAAACTAGATTGAAAAAATTTGTAATATAGATAAGGATTTTCAAAGAATTTTCATTTTTTATTACAAAAGATTAGAAATGTTCTAGAATGATTTATCTATATTGAAAGTAAACGATGCTTAAAAAGAGAACAAACAACGGATTCTCAGTAATTGACAATAATATTGTACTGCGTACTAAGTACTGAAAGTGTGAAGCGTAAATTTGTTCGTAATTTTCATTCAAATCTTATTAACACAGATGCGATGTCACAACATTACCTACCTACAGCGGAATATACAAAATCGGTCATTGTTAAAATATAATTTAGAACGACCGATATTCATGTATGACGCTTATTTGTGTTTTTCTGGGTTTTGTTTCGCGTTTCAACTTTGTTTTCAGGCTCAAACAAAATGCATAAATTAGTATGAGATATAAGAACCAATTTACATAGAAAATTACACCTGTCATGTTTTCGCAAGATTTTGATTTCTTTAAAAAAAGAAATTTAGTATGAAACAACTCGAAGGTTGATATTTTCAAAAAAATTTAATGAATTTATTTTTATGTTAAAGTTGATCTATACATAATATATTTTGACATCGTTAGTGAGTATATGCATTAGTTGAAATGTGTTTTTATGCATAGTGTAATTACTAATAAATATATTGGAGAATAATAAATTTTTTTTTTTAATAAATACGAGATGGAAGTCTATAGCCTAATGAAACTATGTAAAAAGACGGCATACCAGTATTCAGTAATGCGATTAGATCAGAGTTCAAATCGTCTAATATACATCGATTTTTAAATGAAACTAGTATTTACAAATAATGAGTTCCAGAACGAAGGAATAAAAGACGGGACTACAGTTACATTTAAACTCTTGCAAAATTAACTTTAACCTCGAGATTAATAGCGGCATATATTTATATTGTTTCCTATAGCAACTGCCCAAAACACGTCATTACGAATCCTCCCGGTCCATTAACGGTGCTTGTAGGTATCACAAGCACCGGTCACCGGTCGCTTGCGACGAAGGGCTCCACGAGCGAATTAACCCATAGACACAGCCCACTGAGTTTCTCGCCGGATCTTCTGAGTGGGTCGCGTTTCCGATCCGGTGGTGGATTCTGCGAAGCACTGCTCTTGCTAGGGTCAGTGTTAGCATCACTCCGGTTTGAGCCCCGTGAGCTCACCTACTAGTTAAGGTTACGCTGAAATAGCCTCTCAAGGCTATCAGCTTAGGTAGAAAAAAAAAGGAAAACAATTTATAAACTAAAAGTTATAAAAGATTTTTTTATGTAATAGTTCATATCATTCCAAACTTAGTTTTATTCTCGTTCACAAATCGAATTTAGCTTGGTTTCATATCTCGTGACACGGCTCGGTCATGCAAAGGGTTTTCGAGGTTTTTTACAGCATTTTTTCATAGCGGAGCCAGGCACCGCCCAGCTACGTTCGTTTTGTCAATAACTATAAGTACGTCGTAACATTCAATAATTTTTATTGAAAAATAAAAAATTATATGCCCAAACAAAAATATATCTATATTATATCGCACGCATTAGTAAGAAGAGTGAAACTATCCGAAAAGCTGTTTTGTTTTAAGTTTTATAAACCTATATTGACTAGTTTTGCACCAAAAATGTTCAAGGGCATCCTCCACGTTAGTAATAGGTAGGTTAATGTAATTGTTTAATGTATTATATTGTGAATATAAATTTTTTCCTTACATTATAAGTTAGATTAGTTTTCGTTATCGTGTTGTTTTGTCGCAATTGTAAGGAACGTTGTTGTACAAATTCAGTATTAAGTCTTGTTTTGTTATGCGCACATAGCTTATGTTGCAAGCCAGACCTTATTTCTTTTTACTTGTGTTTTTTATGTATCTTTTTAGCTGGTGATGTGTATTGTCAGCCAAATAAATAAAATAAAGAATTGTTTTTTTATTTCTAGTGGAACGATAACAGGTTTTTTGCAAACACGTATCTAGTATTTCTCGCTAAGAGATAAACAAACAGATTTTTTCGTATAGTGGTTTGTGTTAGGTACTATGCGAGTAAGCGAGATGAACCTACCCATCTTAGTGGCCACCGGAGCTCATAGATAAGGCAACGCGAATGCCTCTTTGAGTATAATGACAATTACGAACTTCAAACCGAAACAGATACGAAGATAGTACGAGTTACAACAAACACTCTGCCACCAGTTAAATCTTCTTCCAAAACACAAACCTACACTACTGTTTATTGTATGAAGAATTCCGTTTATAACAATCATATTTTATGGATAAATGGATCATCAAAACTATCATGTTCTTTGATAAATTGAACACAAAAAAAAACACAATTATCAATTTCCAGTTTGCATCCAACATTGTCATTGGTCGAATCATCAATGAAATAGCAAAATGATGATGATCATTTTGATTTTTGATTTTGACGGTGATCTATTAATGTTAATTTGAAAATAAAACCAGATTTTTCTTTTCTACTCTAATACGGAATTTACGTAAAGCAGTTTTCACATTTTTACAACGTCTACTTATTAAGTTAATCAACTGAAAATCTTACATACCCTTTGAATTCTCAGACACGAAAAAATCTAATGCAAAATATATAAAATTGCTGTTCGTTAGTCTTGCTAAAACTCGAGAGCGGCTGGACCTATTTGGCTAATTTTGGTTAATTTTGAATTATTTGTGGAAGTCCAAAAAAGGTTTAAAAGGTAGATAAATATGAAAATGCACGGAATTAAATAAAAATAACAATTTTGTTCTCCCTTTGATGTGTCCCCGTCGGACGGATTCCTTTTGTTTGTTTTAAGTTTATTTTATACAAAAGTTTAGGTCTTTTATTTATCGATTGAGGCACTACGAAGTCTTTCGGGTCAGCTAGTGCAAAATATGAAAAAAACTAATATTTGAATAATTAGAACAATACCTATGTAGCAGCGGACAAGCAGACTTGAAGAGCTTTATGTTCCCATCAAAATATTTGAACAGATGCTAGTGAACGATGCAATCTTCCTATGCACATGTGTCGCCACTATAATTAGGTACCAATAATATACATGCCGCTGGCTGTAACGTGTCTATTTCCGACACGTGTTGACGACCCCGACACGAGCGCGTGCCGGTTCGATTTTCCGTGTTACAAAATTTTTTTTTATACTAGTGGTCTCTCGGTGGCCGAAAATCGACTTTAATTGAAATTATAAGTTTGGACATTATTATGGTTCTATTGTCAAAGAATATTTATACTTCTATAATTACAGATTTCGCCAAGACTACACTATAGACAAATAATATTAAAGACAAACAATCTATTCTCAATTTGTCCACAGACCTTCAACAATGACAAAAGTTTGACAATAAACACAGAGTAATGTGTATGCATAAGTGTTGTGTCAAATACATGGTAGTGTGTGTAATGTTTTCTTGATTGATTTAATGTTTATTTTATGCATAATAAAAAAAAATTTACATTTTGCACTCCTTCTCTATATTCTCTATAAGTATGAGAAATTTTAAACTCAATTTTCGTAAAAAGGGGTGCAAAGTTTCTGCTTCACGTATAGATAATTCATCTAAATTGTAATAAAAAAATACATAAATATGTACTGTTTTTCTTAAATAAATACTAGATTATTACACAACAACGTTATAATTCTAAAATTTACACGACCTTTAAAGCGTTTCAAAGATTCTTAAAAGTTTCTTCGTTTGATTTTAATTTCCATCTTAGAAATTCGAAGGCAGTTTATAATAATTCAAGAGCTTTCTATCCGTCTAAAAGGAGAAAAAAAAAACGTCGATTCATCAAATCGACAAAAACTCTATCGAGGAATATACCCTAAATATCTGACATGTAACCCGACGACCCCGCGACCAGCGTAAACTTTGAGAAACTTTCACATTATTAACACAATGGCCCACCGAATTAGGCCTTTACTATCTCATAAGTAGCATAAGAAGGCTTATGTATATTAGTTTCGGGCCATTAAAGTGGATTCACATCTCAATCATCAATCGGATTTCGCAATTCATCCATTATAAAACTGCTTGTCATACAGTTGTATCGTCATTGAATACAAAATATTTCTTACAAAACGAAAGTGAACGGAAATCGAGAAAGTTTTTTGCATTGAGTGTCGTTATTATAATTTTTTTTTTTTTGCTAAATAACGTCTATCCTGCAATTATTGTCTATTTGTGGACACTTTGTACTTTCACTGTTTACCAACGTTTACTGTCCATAGCAAATTGGCAGTTTGCTAGCAAAAAATTTTTTAGATAGCTCGTATAGCGAACGAGCCGTGTAATTTTACATTAAGAGGTTTTTAATCATTATTTTCATCGCAGCGAACACATATTTTATATACGAAGTCGAGCTTAAACGCTTCGACACCTGACAAAAAAGCGAAATACAAAATCTGACGCTCGCTCATAATACTTAATAGGTTTTATATCAACAAATATTAAAATCGCGTGGAAAGTGGACGTATTTTTGGTGTTAAACTGAATGTGATCTTCGACGGCGTTGGTTATCGTCGGGTTTTTACAATCATTTCTTGATTCGTTTCGTATCAAATACAGGAAGTTGGCAACTTCATTTTATTGAGGCTGTTAATAAAAAATAAAACCGAATGTTTGCAATAAATAATTTACTGTACCATTTTGTAATATCAAACTTTGACTCAAATGAAGATTACCTTTAAAATAGTTATTTTTTA